GAGAGCAAATATAGTGAATGCGGGGTCCGGGGAGAGCGGATATAGTAGTGAATGCGGGGTCCGGGGAGAGCGGGTAAAGTGAATGGGGGGTCCGGAGTTTAGGAACACTTTAAACCCTAACTCTGGTGAAATGTTCTCCCCCCCATGCATCGTGGCTGGGCTCCTACTTCATGGGTGAACTGATCATTTTGTTCAGGGGGGAACACAGAGCCTATACTCACCTGATCCTTTGAAAAATGTCTCTGCCCGGGGTGGACTGACAACTCATGGGCCCCCCCCCCAGGCAACTGGGGATCATGAGGCCCCTGTGTCCTTGCCCACACTCAAAAAACACACCCAAAAAAGTCTATAAAAAGGTACCAGGGGCATTTTATGGGGTCCCCTAACCCCGGGCCCTCGGTCAGTGCCAGAGTGCTCAAATGGTCAGTCCGCCCCTGGGTGCTCCCCTATGAGGACTGTTCCTGATATCTTCATGTCCAGTGCCGGTCTATGAGAGTGATGATGCCAGGAACATTCCACCACACAGGACCCCTGAACTGGGGGGGGGGGGGTGTGCTGCAGGAAGCGGTCTTGTGCTGGGAGGATGGGAGGATTAGGTGAGTAGATCTCGGCTCTCCAATCCCCTAACATGATCAGGTAACACATGCAGTGCAGGCTCAGCCCTGGTACATGGGGGGGGGGGGGGGGGAGAATGTCTGGAAATCGGCTTTCATTTAAGAAATGGAACCAGCAGATACTGGAGGGATGGAATGCAGCGGTGAATTGTGAAGGCGTCTCCTCCATGTTCCTTATGACATCACAGGTGATATTTGGATTAGCGCTCCCCTTTTAGTAAAAGAAATGCAAAGATTTGACAACTCAACCTGACAATTTTTATTTACAAACTGACCAAGGGAATGTCGGGTGAAAGTGAAGGGAAAGTGACGTTCACCCTTTTCGTATGTAGAGTGAAAGTTACAGTAAAGACCTTCTACTGAAGAGATCTTTCCACATGTCAGGGGATGCAAGTTTCACCAGGTGAATGTTGGGTGAATGTCCATGATTTCTGATTCATTTATAGAGTGATAGTTTCTGAAAGAATATTGGGCAAATTTTGGGTGAATATCAGAAATCAGATTGCTTGCTTATGGACCCAATCTTGTAACACTTTTTTTTTGTTTTTAAAATTATAAAATATATATAAACATTAATTCAATCTTTAATTTTTGCTTCTTTTGACTTTTCAATCTACAGATAATTAGAGGACTCTCTGGTGACAATAACACCAAGTTCACCGTAATAACTAAATCACTAAATGTCTGACTTCCGTATCATTACTAATACAAGTTATTGATGAATTAATAGGCTGAGAGCTGAAATGTGGAAATGGATCTGCAGCTTTACTGGTTAATACTGATCCTGTCCGTTTCATCACAAATCTCATTTTCTATCAACTTTTTTCTCATAGAGATGACAATGGAGTGTCCCCCGTATAATCAGATCAGAGAAAAGAATTGTATGAGCAGCTGCCAGACTGCGCTCCCCCTCCCCATCCTCCCCCCTCCCTCCATCCTCACCTGGCTCTGTCTATCAGTATACAGTAGTTGTATCCATACACAGAGGACGTTGTCACCTGGAGACATAATTACAGAGGGGGACACATTCATAGAAAGACAGATCACAGCTGCTGAACCTCCTCACACCCCTCCCTGCAGAGACGCCCCTACCAGCTAAGTGATGATTATTGATTACAGTGATGGCAATGTGATGGTTTTTATAGCTGTATTGGCTTATACCTGATACAATGATTTTATTATAGTATCATCTGTACCTTCCCGGGGGACACCGACACCCAACACACAGCACATGAGAGACACAAGAAAAGTATCTTAACCAACAGAAAAGTTTTATATAATTCATGACATACAGTATATGACAAATGATTCCGTAAAAGTTCATTTTAAGAGATAGATAGATAATAGATAGATAGATAGATAGATAGATAGATAGATAGATAGATTGATAAATAGATAGATAATAGATAGATAATAGATATAATAGATAGATAATAGATATATAGATAGATAATAGATAGATAGATAGATAGATAGATAGATAGATAGATAGATAGATAGATAGATAGATAGATAGATAGATAGATAGATAGATAGATAGATAGATAGATAGATAGATAGATAGATAGATAGATAGATAGATAGATAGATAGATAGATAGATAGATAGATAGATAGATAGATAGATAGATAGATAGATAGATAGATAGATAATCACAATCAATTATATTCTTTGTGAAAAATACACGGGTCAAAAAAATGAAAGGAACACTTAGAAAACCACTCAGATGTGAATGGGGACAAATCTCCTGCTGGATCTCTATACTGACATGGACGGGGTGATGGGTGAGGAACATAAGGACACCCCATCATTTGAATTCAGTTTTCTGTGGGCTGATAATTCTCATTTCTATCAAAGACACCCCGAAAATCAAAGTGAAAAAATGATGCAGCAGGCGGCGAGCCCATTGTGCTGAAATGTCATTGCAGCAACTCATAATGGTCCTCAGTTGTTAGTATGGCCCCCACGTGCTTGTATGCATGCCTGACAACGTCGGGGGAGGCTCCTAATGAGACCGTGGATGGTGTCCTGGGGGATTTCCTCCCAGATCTGAATCAGGGCATCACTGAGCTCCTGGACAGTCTGAGGTGCACCCCGGTGGTGTCAGAAGGACTGAAACATGCTATCCCAGAGGGGTTCTATTGCATTTAGGTCAGGGGGGGGGCATTCAATGGTATCAATTCCTTCATCCTGCAGGAACTGCCTGCATACTCTCACCACATGAGGCCGGGCATTGTCATGTACCAGGAGGAACCCAGGACCCACTGCACCAGCGTAGGGTCTCACAATGGGTCCAAGGATTTCATCCCAATACCTAATGGCAGTCAGGGTGCCATTGTCTAGCCTGTAGAGGTCTGTGTGTCCCTCCATGGATATATCTCCCCAGACCATCACTGACCCACCACTAAAACGGTCATGCTGAACCACGTTACAGGCAGCAGAATGTTTTCCACGGCTTCTCCAGACCCTTTCACATCTGTCACATGTGCTCTGGGTGAACCTGCTCTCATCTGTGAAAAGCACAGGGCTCCAGTAGTGGACCTGCCAATTCTGGTGTTCGATGGCCAATGCCAGTCCAGCTCTATGGTGCTGGGCAGTGAGCACAGGGCCCACTAGAGGATATTGGGGCCTCAGGACACGATCATGAAGTCTGTTTATGATTGTTTGGTCAGACATTCACACCAGTGGCCTGCTGGAGATCATTGTGTAGGGCTGGCGGGGCTCCTCCTGTTCCTCCTTGCACAAAGGAGCAGATCCCAGTCCTGCTGATGGGTTAAGGACCTTCTAGGGCCCTGTCCAGCTCTCCTAGAGTAACTGCTTGTACACTGACCCTAGCCAAATGCAAAACTAGTGAAAAACAATTGGAAAAGATGAGTAGGGGAAAAAAATGTCAGTGGCCTCCACCTGTAAAACCATTCCTGTTTTGGGGGTTGTCTCATTGTTGCCCATCTAGTGCACCTGTTGTTAATTTCATTAACACCAAAGCAGCTGAAACTGATTAACAACCCCCTCTGCTACTTACCTGACCAGATCCATTGTCAGGAATGGACTTGCCAATAGTGGTGGGACTCACCTGCCTTGTGGGCTGTAGTACCAGGGCTGCCCAGCGGGTGCTCTCAACAACCAGAGGTTCACTTCGGCAATTAGCCATCACCTGGGGCTGATTGCAGGTGTATTTAAGGGATGGCCAGACCTGCAGTAGGTGCCTTGGTGTGTGTTTTTCCATGGGCCCCTGTATCTTGCAACCTGCATTCCTGTTCCTGTTCCTGCCTGACTTGTTGCCGACCCTGCCTGATCCTGACCTCTGCTGACTTCTCCTGTTTGATCCCTGGCTTGTGACCCTGACCATTCTCTCCGCCTGCTCCTCCTGTACCTACCGGCCCGATAGTTATTGACCGGCATGCCTGACTACGTTGTGCTCTATATGTGTATGTACCTGTGTATCTATATCCGTTTAGGTTTGCGTTTGTTTCACCTTGTTGTATGTATTTGTGTTAGCTTGGGGTTTGGTGCACTGCGTTTATATTTTGTATTGTTAGTCTCAATAAATTATATTATTTACTATATCTGAAGCCTGCGTTTCCTGTGTCAGTCCACACACTTCTGGTCACACCCGCATCCCTGACATTACACCAAGGCCAGTCCTGACCAGAAGTGGCTGCACAGGGAAGCCATCTTGGCTTATTGTTGCTGGGAAGGATGGATCTTGATGAGGTGGTGTATTTATCTCTGCTGGTGTTTGATGACAGGGATTATGCTTATCAAACTCTGAGGGAGTATACCCGGGATCAACTGCTAGAATGTATAAGGATCGCTCATGTTCTAGTAGATCAGGGCACAGAGTTCTCTGAGGTGCAGCCATTGATTCAGGTTTGTGCTGAGTTGGTTTCATCTGGTACCCCCGAATGCAGGGATGAATTTTTGCCGCCATTTAGTGCCGACCAGTTAGAGTCCCTGGTATGGTTATTAGAGGATGATGTGGATTACTTTCTGGAGCGTTATTCTGCATGTTCACCACAGGTACTAAGAGATTGTATAAACGCAGTGCAGTCATTGGTCAGACAGGCTTTGTGTAAGCTGAGCTTTGTTCAACCCATACTACAGACATGGTCAGACTTGTTGCACCCAGCCTCAGTCAGCTTACAACGTCATTCCTCCACTCAAGGCACTCTTCCTGCATCCCCGACAGCACCCCCAGTGACGGCCCAGTATACTCTGCTAACTACCACATATCAGTCCTCTGCTCTCACTCGCTGCACCTATCCTTTCTTTAACCCTGTAAAGAAGTCCTCTGTAGCAACTGCTCCCCCCTCTGTTCCATCTTCCAGCTCTTCTATGTCCTCAGCTGCTCCATCCGTTTACAAACCTGCGCTTACTTGCAGTGCTCCGGTAACTAAAACCAGGAAAAGGAAAAATTCTTTCCAACCAGTACCATCCTGCCAGTATCCAAACCGGTGAGCCTGCCATCTGAGAACCCGCCTTCCGTGGTTCAGCCTGGTGTGACTCGGCGCCCACAATTCAGCCTGATGTCTCTACCCAGCCTGATGTCTCTACCCAGCCTGATGTCTCTACCCAGCCTGATGTCCTGATCCAGCCTGATAATCCTAATATGCCAGACGACTCGATGCCTGCTGTTCCGCCAGACGACTCGATGCCTGCTGTTCCGCCAGACGACTCGATGCCTGCTGTTCCGCCAGACGACTCGGTGCCCGCAGTTCCGCCAGACGACTCAGTGCCCGCAGTTCTGCCAGGCGACTCAGTGCCCGCAGTCTTGCCAGACGACTCGGTGCCCGCAGTCTTGCCAGACGACCCTGTGCCCGCAGTCTTGCCAGACAACCCGGTGCCCGCCGCTCCGCCTGGTGGCCCGGTGCCCGCTGCTCTGCCTGGTGGCCCAGTGCCCGCCGCTCCGCTCCGCCTCGTGCTCCGCCTCGTGATGCGGCGCCCAGCCCGACGTGCCTCCGTCCGGTGCCCAGCCCGACTTGCCTCTGTCCGGTGCCCAGCCTGACGTGCCTCCGTCCGGTGCCCAGCCCGACGAGCCTCCGTCCGGTGCCCAGCCTGACGTGCCTCCGTCAGGTGCCCAGCCCGACGTGCCTCCGTCCGGTGCTCAGCCCGACGTGCCTCAGTCCGGTGTCCAGCTCGATGTGCCAGTCTTTGATATCCCGCCAGTCACCGGACCCGGACGGTGGAACATTTAGCCCAGCTAGGACTGTTTGGAGCACCCTGAGGCCGCTCCTTGAAGGGGGGGGGGTACTGTCAGGAATGGACTTGCCAATAGTGGTGGGACTCACCTGCCTTGTGGGCTGCAGTACCAGGGCTCGCTAGCGGGTGCTCTCAACAACCAGAGGTTCACTTCGGCAATTAGCCATCACCTGAGGCTGATTGCAGGTGGTGTATTTAAGGGATGGCCAGACCTGCAGTAGGTGCCTTGGTGTGTGTTTTTTCCATGGGCCCCTGTATCTTGTAATCTGCATTCCTGTTCCTGTTCCTGCCTGACTTGTTTGCCGACCCTGCCTGATCCTGACCTCTGCTGACTTCTCCTGTTTGATCCCTGGCTTATGACCCTGACCATTCTCTCCGCCTGTTCCTCCTGTACCTACCTGCCCGATAGTTATCGACCCGGCCTGCCTGACTACGTTGTGCTCTATATGTGTATGTACCTGTGTATCTATATCAGTTTGGGTTTGTTTCACCTTGTTGTATGTATTTGTGTTAGCTTGGGGTTTGGTGCACTGCGTTTATGTTTGTATTGTTAGTCTCAATAAATTATATTATTTACTATATCTGAAGCCTGCGTTTCCCTGTGTCAGTCCACACACTTCTGGTCACACCCGCATCCCTGACATCCATATCCCAGGAGCTTCACTGACTTGATGCTAGACTCTGATTAAAAAGTGTTCATTTATTTGTTTTTAGTAGTGTATATATAACATACAATGTGTCTGTGGTAAAAGATAATACAATATACTTCATTAAGCGTGCCGGATCTTAGGAGATACTATCACTCAGTATTATTGTCACATATTTTTGATTGGACACATAATGCACTTAGGAAATGTCGGGTGAATATAGAAAACACGTGAAGTGGGTCACTGTTGAATATGATGGTGTGGTTACTGCACGAGCCCCGTCCGTTGGCAGAGAACACGAGCACCGTACGTTGGCAGAGAACACGAGCACCGTACGTTGGCAGAGAACACGAGCACCGTCCGTTGGCAGAGAACACGAGCACCGTACGTTGGCAGAGAACACGAGCCCCGTCCGTTGGCAGAGAACACGAGCCCCGTCCGTTGGCAGAGAACACGAGCCCCGTCCGTTGGCAGAGAACACGAGCCCCGTCCGTTGGCAGAGAACACGAGCCCCGTCCGTTGGCAGAGAGCACGAGCCCCGTCCGTTGGCAGAGAGCACGAGCCCCGTCCGTTGGCAGAGAGCACGAGCCCCGTCCGTTGGCAGAGAGAACGAGCCCCGTCCGTTGGCAGAGAGCACGAGCCCCGTCCGTTGGCAGAGAACACGAGCACCGTCCGTTGGCAGAGAACACGAGCCCCGTCCGTTGGCAGAGAACACGAGCCCCGTCCGTTGGCAGAGAGCACGAGCCCCGTCCGTTGGCAGAGAGCACGAGCCCCGTCCGTTGGCAGAGAGCACGAGCCCCGTCCGTTGGCAGAGAGCACGAGCCCCGTCCGTTGGCAGAGAGCACGAGCCCCGTTCGTTGGCAGAGAGCACGAGCCCCGTCCATTGGCAGAGAACACGAGCACCGTCCGTTGGCAGAGAACACGAGCCCCGTCCGTTGGCAGAGAACACGAGCACCGTCCGTTGGCAGAGAACACGAGCCCCGTCCGTTGGCAGAGAACACGAGCCCTTACACACGCAATGTAATGAGGGTATGGGACATAATGCACAAACAAAATGGGTGGGAGTTTAACTCCATACTGATGCCATTAGAGGTCTCAGATATTTTCCCACCAAGAAAAGAAAGTATCCAGATAAATGGATAAAAAAAGGGGATGCACAATTAAAAGATATATATTGAACTTCCGGTTCTGGAGCCGCATGGGGTAGGGAAGGCATCCCGCGGCTCCGGAGCGTATTTTATATATAAATACGGCTCCCTGCCCTGCACCGGAGGACCATGGTTTACGGCTCGGGAGTGATCCCCCCCTTTTTCCCCCGCTCCCGACCACAGATGGAGCAGTATTTGCGGCCAGCATCGTCTGGCCAGGATCCCGCTCCCTGTGCACAGAGGGACAGGTCTCCCCTCCGTGCAGCCAAGATGGCCTCCGCTGATCATGCTGCAGGCAGCAGTCTCCACACTCCCCAGAGCCAGATATACAGAGCAGCAGCCACAGTTCTCCTACCCTGATGGCCAGCATGGAGACAGACCGAGGGCCAGACCCAGGTCCAGGGTCGGGATACGGTAGGAGAGATGCACAGCCGCTCCACACTATTGACAGGGCATGCTGAGCACAGTAGTCCCACAGATCAATACGACCAAATCGCACAGGCTGTGGCTTCTTTATTGCTACCAAACATTACAAAAGCAGTGGACACTTCCGGATCCGGCGCCGCATGTGAGGACGGCGAGACCCGCGGCTCCGGCTCTTCTTTTCTATAAAGCCGGCATACCACAGCAGGGGACACTTTTAAAGCGGCACAAAAGTGCCCCCCGATCCCCCCCTCACTTACCAGGCATGGATCGCTTCCTGCTCCCGGTCCCAAACGGCCCTGGATCGGCAGGGGAGACAGAGAGATGCAGCTCTCCCCCCTTCTGCAGCCAAGATGGCTGCCGATCACAGCAGCAGTCAGCAGCAACAGCATGGACACAGGACAAGGTATGGCAGAATCACACACACACAAGCCATTACCACACTGAGGCAAGCTGACACCTGTAGTCCCACGGACCAATATGACAAAATAGCACAAGCTGTTGCTTCACTACTGTAATGCAGTGGACAGAGAGCAGTGGCACAGGGCATAGAACAGCTTAGGCGTGACATGGGTGAAAGCGCTAAACGCATAACTGAGGTGGAACAGCGCCTATCAGACCTAGAGGATGACCTTCAAGCCATCAGGCGAAAAACGCACACTCCTCACGTACCCAGATATCTATCTTGGAAAAAATTGATGACCTGGAAAACCGGTCACGTAGGAACAATTTACGTGTCATAGGCCTTCCAGAATCATTTAATCTAGGCACCCTAACGGATATATGTTCCACGCGTTTCCCGCTGCATTGGGCATACCCACGCCATGCCAAGTCGAAAGGGCACATCGCCTAGGAGCTCCCTATGACCGACGCACTCCACGCTCCATAATAGTTAAATATCTTAACTATGCAGACCGCGTGGCTATCCTCAACTCGTTCCGCAACTCCCGCTCACTTCAGCTGGAAGGTCACAAACTACTTCTATTTGCGGACTATTCACAGGAAGTCTCTCGAAAGCGCAAGTCCTTTCAGCAGATCTGCGCAAAACCTACATCAAAAAGGGATTAACTTCACCCTAGCGTACCCAGCCATTTTACGTTTCACTTCGCCCACGGGAGAATCTAAATCCTTCACCCACCCGGAAGAGGCCATACAATATATCCAGACCAACATGACGAACATCCGAGACCCTTCATCTCCACACTCTTCAATCCGAGACCCAGGCCCAAGAGATCAGCGCAGCCCACGCAAAGATCCACCAAAACGGCAGCGAATTAACACTTCTTCGGCCAAAACAAAACTACCCTGACAAGTCTGGTCCTCCCTAGGGCTACGATGATGCCCGTCTGGGCTCCAATTTCAAATTCTAAGACACACTTACTAACCTGTGAATTTTATTCCACATGTCTAGTTACACCTCTAGTTGGGGTACTATCTGTCTTCTTTTGAGTATTTTTTACGCTGAAGTGGGGTACCTTATTGTTATTGTATTCCTTAATTTTTACTGTTATGGCTCTGACCTTGATTACCTGGGGGGGGACGCCGGGATCGATGACCATGTGCCCCAGGTACGTGTCTCTGTCTTGGCCTCCCTTCAAACAAGCTTTGACCAACGCAACATTGCCGATCTCGGGGAATTGACATGTTCTCCTCCATGCCAAAAAATTACCTTCCCATTAGGGGACTCTTTCTTGATTACTACATGCTTTAAGAGGCTAGCTCCCCGGCTGCAGGTTCTCCTCAGCTCAGCTCCGGTTACGCTGGTCAAAGATTAGTGGCAACATGCGGAAAAAAGTGAAGTTCAGTTTGCTACTAAGGTTTTCAGAATTTTATGTTTGTTCAAACGGCCCATGTTGGGCTTTGCCTTGGTTCATTCTCCAATCTATCTCTTTCTTTTTTCTTTCTTTTTTTTTCTCCCTTTCTTCCCGGAGAACCCCTATATCGCATGACCCATTCACTCCCACAGCCCACTAAGGAAGAGAGTTTCGATCATACTAAACGTTCAACACTCTCAGCGGATGTAACCCCTGCGTGTATCATCCAATTATCCCCAACACTATGATACGCTTAATCTCCTGGATGTCAAAGGCCTGAGATCACCCCACAAGAGCAACGCCATCTACAGCGGCCAGACATAGCGCTACTCCAAGAAACACATCTGAGGCCGTATGAAAAAGCTATAAGGCCAGGTATTGGGCTCCCCCTCACCCCACCACAAAGCAGCAGTGCTAATACTCATTCACAAACGACTCTCCCCTGACATCCTCTCTATGGAAGCAGATGCAGTCGGGCGCTTTGTTTCAGCTCATATCAAGTTGGGCGATTCCTCTCTGACTCTTACCAATATT